GCATGTCCCCGCTGACACACGTTGCCCTGATCTCTTCCACTGAGACAGGCTTCACCCTCGTGCAACATGGCATTTACTGTGGGGTTTGTGTGAGGAGCCTGAAGTGCCACTTAAAGGCTGACACTCTCCCCCACACCTCAAAGTACCCACTTTTGCAAACACCACATGAAGGGAGGAGAACATTTAGACTTGCAGTTGTTTTAACCTCTTAGCAAAGCAAGGATCTCTTCCCTCTCTCTCCCTTGGTTGCCAGCAGAATAATAAGCCCCACAGATTTGGTAACTCAAAGGTTTCCCTTTGAATGCATCACAGCTGTGGAAAATATACACCCCATCTTTCTGGGCTGATGACTTCCAATTGTATCCAAAACAATAATTCCTGTAATTTCCACTCACGACTGCTTCCCAGCATCAACCTTAGCAGGAAACATCCCAAAAACTAGAGCCTGAGCTTATATGACATAGAAATATGACATGGTATCTGAATGTTCTCAGCGTGCCCTCAAGTTGCCAGGTGGGCAGAGTGTACAGAGCCAGTAGTACAGCACAGATTGGGCAGAAAGGACCTCCTCTCTTGGTAGCTTTCTTAAATAGTCTAGGATGTCCTCACCTGCCAATGATTTCTCCTTTTGATGTAGCTAGAAATGGTTATGAAATGTTAATTCTCTGTTCTTTACTATGAGGGTGGTGAAACACTGTCACAGATTGCCCAGAGGGGTAGTGGAAGCTCGATCCCTGAAGACATTTAAGGTCAGGCTTGATGGGGCTGTGAGCTGTTTGATCTAGTTCAAGATGTTCCTTCTTACTGCAGGAGGGTTGGACTGGATGACCTTTCAGGGTCCCTTCCAACCCAACGCACCCTATGATTCTATGCTGCAAACTCTTCAGTGAGATACTGGTTCTGCCCCTCTCCTACATCTTGTCTGGTGAAGTAATGTTTTGCCAAACCGAGCTACGGTGACTTCATTAGCTGCTTCCAGCATCACGGCTGATAGTTAAGTCCTGAGAGCATGGAACAGTGTTGTTTGTACTCACCCACAGCACAGGTCTTCTGTCTGCAACGCAACCTCCACCTGCTTCTACGCAGCCAGGGCGATTTTGGGGTCTTCAGATCAAAAGCTGGAGTTAGTGAGCGATGTGCTGCCAACGGATCCTGTTGATGGAGCCCACTCTTTGCTTTAATGCTGTGTTGTGCTGACCTGTGCTGTTGGACTACCAGGGTCTGGAGAAGCTCTCTGCTGGCAGAGAGTCAACCCCGGTGATGGGACTGGGCAGCACATCCTGCTGTGCAACGCCGGCTCGCTCGGTGTGGCGGGTTGCTGTGGCTGCAGAGCCGTGTTACACGCCCCAGTACTGACCTACTGTTGCATGAGGAGATGGTCTCCTGAAGCTTCTTCCTCGGTGACTTTCCACCCCAGTGTCTCACAGCCAGTCTCAGCTGTGTGGGGCAGAGAGGCACAGCCCCAGGCAGCAGCGAGGGAGGATGCGGTGCCCCCTTGAGCGAAGGGCTCCAGGCCAATGCCCGAGGCTGAGCCGAGCACGCTGTCAGCACAGCAATAGCTTGGAGGCAGCTACAGTGAAGGGCTCAACCGGACCGTTGGGAAGTGGGAAGCTACTGTTAAAAGCAAAATTTTAAAATAAAAGTGAGTTTCAGCACTCTGCTGCACCTTTTAATGAGATGGTTCCAATGTCAGAAAGTTGTTTCTTTTAAAACTCACATTTAGTGCAACGGGAATATTCTTGCCAGTGCTTCAGTTGCACTTGGTTGAAGACACCATCTGCTGTGACTCTTGGCCAGCTTGTCATTTAAAATGTCATTTAGACTGGAAAGCAACTCAGCCCGGATATGGAGGCAGATGCCATCAGCAAAGGTGAGCTTCCGTAAGTGAATGAGGTGGCTGATAAAAAGACTGAATTGCAGAAGCATTTACAGAGAGCCCTGTGGAAAACCGCTGATTTTTCTGCATATGCTTTATTTTCTGTACATGCCTTATGCAATCTATCTCGGAGAAGCAATATTACAAGAGATGTCAGTGAAATTCTGCATTTAAAATCCAGCTTTGTGCTGAGGAAAGCAGGAAGAGCCATTTTCTGTCCTCTCCAGAAACAGGATTGATGGTATTTTCCAAACCAAACTGCTGAGTCCTAGGCTTGCTTCAGTGGTATAGGACAAGCCCATTTTCCTGCCTTTTAGTGGAGTATTGCTGCACAAAAAGCTGTTCAAAACTGTTTGCTCCCTCAACGTTTCTGTTCCAGCTGACAACAAACCAACTCTGAGGCCTCTTTCTTCAGCACAGGTGTAAGAAGTTACCACATTCGTGCCTGTCCCCTGAATACTGAGGCTCATCCCCAGCTGTACCTACTGCCAGGTGTTCAGGCTTCAAACCAAACCAACCACAGGATGAAGAAGGGAGAGGAATGAAATACGGAGAAAATTGATTAAAAAGAAGTAGAAGCTAGAACTAACAGAGTTAATTGCTCTACCCAGGTTTGTGCCCACAGGGCGCGTATAGATGAGTGTCAGTAATGAAGCTCTTCAGCAGCCTGGGGCAGTCTTGGTTCTTAAGGGCAAGTAATCTATCAAGATGAAAAACGTGAAGGAGTCCTTTCCATGTGTGCTGCTCGGTATGGCTCAAATTGCTTTTCATCTGTGCTCTGTGCTTTCGTTGACTTAAAGGAAATTAAACATTACCTTTTTTTAATTGGATTGGTTTGGAGATTTCACTAAGTGTTACTTCCTAATAATTTAAAGACTAGAACTAGCTTAAGGCAATTAAAACTAAGAGAAAACCAAACAAAACACCTTTAAGTAACTAATTAATCCAGAATTTGATTTAAAAAGGAAGCAACTGGGGGTTAAGTGACCCAGTCAGGTGGGGATGACAAGAAGCCAGTACAGAGCCAGCAGTGCAGCCGCTAGGGTGGCTTACTGGGGATAGAAATAGTATTTTTTTATCTTCTTCACAGGCAAGAGCAAGAACATACTATGTTCAAAACCCTTCTTACTCATAAGATAATTTTTATTAATTAGTGTACAGAGCACGGGTGCTGCCAGGGGCTGCAGGGTCACCTTCGTGAGGGGAGGCCAGGGGTGCCCCAGGCCAGACATGGCAGCACCTCTGGGAAATAGCGTCTAAGTAACGACAAAAACACTGCACAGGGAGAAGAGGGTGGGAAGAGAAGCGTGCAGCAGCCACAAAAACACCAAGGTGAGAGCAGGAGGAGGGTGAGGAGGTTCTGCAGGTGCCAAAGGGGAGAATCCCGGCAGCCCCAGGAGGAGCCCACACTGGAGCAGGCAGGTATTGTCCAACAGGAACTGCAGCCTGCGGAGAGCCCACACTGGAGCGGGTTTATCACGCGGGGAAGACCCATGCTGGAGGTGGGGGAATGCACGAAGAAGGAGCAGCAGAGCTGTTATGGACTGACCACAACACCCACGGTCCAGCACCACTGCAGGGGGCAGGCAGAGGGGTCAGGAACAAAGACGTGAAGTTGAGCCTGGCCAGGGGAAAGTGTTGGTTTGTAAATTTTTGCCTTTGTTTCTCACTATGCACATTTTCAAGTCAGAGAACCACAGATTTGTTGAGGTTGAAAAGACCTTTAACATCAAGTCTAACTCTTAACCTAGCAATGACAGGTCCACCACTAAGCCAGGTCCCCGGGCACAGCATTGACACGGCTTTTAAATACCTCCAGGATGATGACTCAGCCACTTCCCTGGGCAGCCTGTTCCAGCGCTTAACCACTCTTTCAGTGAAAAAATTTTTCTTAATTTCCAATCTAACCCTCTCCTTGCTGCAACTTGAGGCCATTTCTTCTTGTCCTGTCACTTGTTACTTGGAATAAGAGACTGACCCCCACCTTGCTAAAACCTCCTTTCAGCTGGCTGTAGGGAGCAGCAAGTCAAGTCTCTTTTGCTCATGTTGGTAACCAGCAAACAGTCTCCCCATCTTTATCCCAACCCATGAGCTGTGTTCTCCCCCATCCAATGGAGGGGGTGGAATGAATGAGGGGCTGGGTGGGCATCTCACCACCATCAGTTATCTACAGACCAGGTCATCAGATACAGGAAGCCTTGTGAAGAGCGCAGCTCTGCTAAAAAATAGTAGCAGGCTGTAATAAGAATCAATCAACTACAAGATACAGAAAAAAAGCCACAGCCCCACCAACACTTTGAAATATGAACAGGTTCTGTTACATTTTACTTCTCCGTCTCTCACAACAGTACGCATTTTCAAACTTTCAAAGACCTTTAAAGTTTTGTTGCAACAGTGCAAACTGCCCATCCCAAATCCTGTGAGAACATGTTCTAACGAATCTCAGTAACACAAAAGTAACAAAAAAGATTTTTGTGACAGGGAGCCCTTTGCTTACGGCTGAGTTTCTTTAGGGGCTGAGATGTCATTTGATGACTGTAGCCTTACAAGTTTTATATTATGTATCGTACTACACTGTAATACAGCAATGCTTGCATACTCATGCACAAAGAATTTATGAACAAAACCTATAATCCTTGATTGGCCTTATTATTCTAACTTGTCTTATAAATATTTAAAAAAACTGGCTTCCTAAAATAGCACAAGTAGTTCATTATTTGCCACACAGAGACTATAGTAGGATAATGTTCAAGATGAGAATCCTGTATTTCAAATTTATATTTGTATTCTATTGAATAGCATAAATGTGGCAAGTGACTAGCACAGGAATAGTTGTCATGCTAAAAAAAAGATTTTTAGGGCTGCTTATGTGAAGACAATAGCCACTGACAATATGATTTGACATTGCCTTGAAGGACATGGATTATGGGTGTTGACAGGGCTAGGAAAAAGTGGGACTCTATGATCTTGAAGGTCTCTTCCAACCAAAACTGTTCTATGATTCTACGATAAAAAGACCAATACCTCGACGAGATTAAGACTTGTTATGTATTCTGTTCTCTACCTCTTCCCAATGTTTTCTCACTTGTTTGCCTCCCAATTCAATAAACTAAACTACAGCTGTTACAGGAGGCTTTTATTTTGAACAAAACCAGTGAAAATACAATTTACACTGAAAGCCAAGGCAGATGCATGTCACATTTGTTATTTGCTAGCTGTTGTAGGTGGGACCCACTCTTGTATCTTCTTGCGAGTAGTAGAGTAAGGTACGTACTGTCCGGGAGTGCCACTCAGATTGAATTTATGGTTCTCCCAGATAAATTTACGAGCAACTGGTGGATGAGTAGTTGGAGGGTCATCCGTCATTGAATGAAGCCAGCGATGCCTTAAGAGGAAAAAGACACATTATTATTAAGGAACATTATATGATCCATAAACAAGTCTTCCTCCTGACTTCTCCAAAGGGACACAAAGTATTTATTTTGAGGTGGTGGTGGGGGAAATACAGGATACTGATTTTAAGTAATTATACAAACATAACTGATAAATAAGGGTTCCGCTTCCAAGCAACTAAAAACATACCTGAGTTCGAATGTCTTGTTCCTCTGTACGCTTAGTATTTGGGCAGAGAGTGTTTAATTTTGTATGTGTCTGTATGGCCTTAACCAGACAGTCAGGCCAAGGTAGGCACTACAGATGACAAAACTGCAAGGTTTTGCTGTCTGGAATTTTTATTGGGTTTTGGTTTGGTTTTTTCGGTATGTAGTTGTTTGGGGTTTTTATTGCCAAAAGATTATGCTGCGCAACTATTTCGATACCATCTCCAAAGCATTCATGAGGCTACCACCAGGGATATAGATTAATGATGCAGGTTGACCTAAAATAATCACATTTATTGCACAGTCAGTAAACATCCAATTATTAATACCAATCAGTAATGGGGTAATTACCAAGCTATTACAGTGATTATCCTTTACCTATGAACTAAATGTCAATCCTCCCCTGTGCACACAACATTAATGATCAAGCAAAGTATTTTCCATAACAATTTACTGAAACACTACAGCAGGGATCAACTGAATTGATTTCATCCCATCACTATTTCAGTGCCCAAAGCAACTTTCAAACCTGAATAACACTTTAATTATCTGTCGGTTTACGCATACTTCATACAGTATGCAGTTATGACAGAAGTGAAGCTCTAACTTTTTGCAAGCTTATGTATTTTTTTTACTGATGTAGAGTTAAAGAGGCTTCTGCTAATCAGCTTCTGCTGAAGACTTAATCTAAAAATAAGAAGTCTTCTATTCCAGTTGATATTAGAAAGCCTAAAAATTGCATCTTCAGCCTTTAGCAAGACACATTTATTGATACAGCAAAATAAAACCACAATAAACATAGTGAGAAATAGACTGACAAGTATATTCTAAGTCTGAAGAGCCCTACAGAAGGTTAATTATCTTCTCAGACAAATAGCTTCTAGACATTTATTTCAGGAAAAGAAAAAAAATCACAGCTTTGGATATAACTTTAGATCAAAATCTCACTTTAAAAAATGACAGCCACATGTTCATTTTCTGTAAGTGAAAACCAAACAACACCAATGAAAACCACACATAGGACTAAGGACTGCTAGGAAACTGGTTTGAATACAAAACCAGATGGAATCATAAGATCCTTTAAAAGTACAAAGAAAACCTTGTTTAGAGGTAAAGGATGGCCTCCTATGTTTGAGCGCGGTGCTGACAACAATGACAAAACCAAGGTCGTGGGTTCAATTCCTGCTCGGTCCCCATGTGTTGCCTCGTCTAGTCGAGAGGTGGCGTCCCTGCCCATGACAGGGAGGTTGGACTAGATGATCTCTAAGGTCCCTTCTAGCCCAGGCCATTCTATGATGATGATGATGATGATGAAATGATCCACGTAGGAGTTTCAAAGTTATACACATGTTCAGATTAAGCGACCTAATGCAACATGAATGAGAAGGGGATCCCTCTTCTCCACCCCACCTCTGTAAATCTAGTATCACTTGAAGTAAGTATTTTCCACTACTTGTGTTAAAAAAAGAATGTTTTAGGTCATGACTTCTGCCTGGAAGAAGGCATCCCCATAGCACTACTAATTACCATGTGGTCTGAGGATGCAGGATGAGCCTTGCTCAATTTTAAACCTGGTATTACCAGCCTCCCAAATGCCCACGTCACATCACACAAAGCTCTGACCTTAGGGGAACTCCCTCTCTCATTTCACACCCATTAGAAGAATCTGTGTATGAGTGTGCTTCACACCACCTGAGCTAGCACCAAAGTTGGCAGAAGCACTGTAATTTGACAGAGGTAGGATCATACCCAAAAAGAGGTAGGATCATACCCAAAAAACCAGCACTCCATTGCTAAAACAAAGTAGCACACAGTCTGGGGCACAGACGGGGAAAAAACAATCCACAGATTCATATAAATTCTGCCAATATTGACTGAAGTATACTGCATGGCAAAATACTTCACAGTATCAGAGGAGCCTCAGCTTTTCAAAATCGCTTGCCATAATACAAAGAGGCAGCTTTTGCTCACACACCTTCGCCCAGTGGTGCTTCTGGTCATAGTGGATAGGGGTCCTGCAAACAAACCCCTGCTTATGCACCTCTCGCCACGCCTCACCGTCCTCACACTCCCCCTGAGTCGTATACACCAACATGACAAACAAAAAATGGTCTTTTCAGACAGAAATGCAGTTACAAAGACCCTGACAGACAGGCTGGAGCAGGTGGAGCCCAGAAACTGTATTAAGGCACAGTTGAAATCAACTAGATTTCAAGCTTGCATGATGTCTGGCACCTCTGCCATCAGAAGCGCATTTATATTGTACATTTGCTGCTTGAAACATCAGAAAAATCATCATGATATTGACTTATTTACTCATTTAACAGAATAGTTTTATTCTGTCATTTAAACTACTGTTCTGTAGCTTTTCTAGTGCTAAATCCATGAAGTCTTCAAATACACAGTATTGTGGAGTAATTAATGTATTTGCTTTCGGGATTTTCAGAAGTTCTACAATATCAATACAAAACCATGCTGAAATTTAAATAGATTAGCAAAACCATTCCTTAAATTTCACTTTTTCACTAGAAAGTAGAAATAAAATTGCTCACTTATGAGACATGTCAGTACGGTCAGTTTTCCACAGCAGTGGGAAATGCATTACTTCAGATGATACCAGATTTACATAGGAGAGTTGGGGAAAGAGGAGAGGGATCACCTTCCCATTCATGTTGCACTGGGCCACCTCATCTGAACATGAGTGTGACTGAAATACCTAAAGAGATTTCCAAAGTTCATCTAGAGCTCCACTAGCTATTATTTATGCTTATATTTAAGAGTCTCAGGGCTTAAGTCTGGTCACAACAGATTGCTCTTAGAAGCCCAACATGTGCCTTACAAAAGCATTTCAGTTTGCAAAGAGTCTGTTCTCTCAAAAAAAAGCTCCCACTCTCCACTTCAGAAAAAATATGTAAAATCTGAAAACTTTATTTTAGGAAGACTTTTCCCTTGACAACTTCCCTCAAAGAGTCCTTTGAAGCCCTGATGTCTCATAGGCTCTACTCCCAGATGCACATGAAAAGCTTTTCATGCACTAGATTGAACAGTCTGAATAAAGAGATTTGACGTCTTGCAGATGGCCAGATTTCTATACAAACTCTGCCTATAAATCCATGCATGGAAAAACAGATTCAAAAGCAATTAATGACTTAAAACCTACAAAGGAGCAGACAACTTAGAACAAAGAAAATCAGGAGGATAGCAAAGGCTCTGAAGAGGCTGAAGCAGCTTCCTGAATCAGAAAGCAGTCACTGGCAGGCAGACTGAGGGTAGCAAAGCCTCCAGGTTTTTCCTTGGGTAAACTCAGGAAAGACACCTTGAAATATCTTCAAATGCTCTTGAGACTATGTAGAATTTTCTCCCAAGTCTTAGACAAATATTTAAAAGCAAGGAGACTTCGAACTGAAGCTATGAGGGACTGGAGCCAATTACATGATGCACAAGCTGTCAAACAAGAACCAATGCTACACAAACTCCGTAGCTACTACCATATGTGCATCTGCAAGGTTCAGGCACCATCTACGTAAGTTCAGGATGTTTGCCAACTTGTTAGCATCCACTTTTTTCAACAAGTTAACCATCTTGCAAGAAGACAAAAGAGACAGCAATGAGACAGCATCCCATTTACCAGAAAACATCACACTAGCATTTAATTTAGTTACAAACTCCACAAATTTATTGTGAAGCTACTGAAAGGACAGAAATTTTACCACTCTCCCTCCCCTCCCCCCCCCCGGCCTTCCCTTTTCTGTTCAATCTCTGTTTCATTTTCTGGAGGCAGACTTGAAAAGCAGCAATTCTACAGGAGAATAGCACACTGTTTTATATTTCTTGGTATGTTGGCACTTTAAGTCTGAGAACACAGTATCACAGAACGGCCTAGGCTGGAAGGGACCTTAGAGATGATTTGGGGACCGAACAGGGATGCTAAATTCCTCCCTCCTTCAGCTGTCAGATCAACTAAAAAAGAGGATGCACATTATTAAGCTGAAGTTATATTTTAAATATTTCATTGTATGAAGTTAGCATTCCTGAATCTCCTTCCAAATATGTCAGATTTGTATCATAATGAAATAAACATCAAAGTACAGGACTGATATTATACATACATAGGACAGAGTTGGCAAAATGAAGTGTGCCTGCCAAAGGAAAAATCTGTTCTCAAATTATAGTTCTTCTTTTCCTAGAGGACACAACATACTGAAAAAGCAAATTATTTTTAACTAGTTTGTATACATACAGCAGTTGTCAATTTGTTTTTGCAAAGTATTTGGCCAAGACACAAACCAAATTCCATGAAACCAGATAAATGGTAAACGAACAGTGTGCAGGCAGCCAGGAAAGGCTTTGAATGCGATGCAAATGTAAACTCAAGCTCTTCCCAATTTTAACTATAGGAGTACCCTGATCACTGAATAGTAGATAGGAGCCCATTGCAGGAATTAGCAGACTCATAGGGAACTTCTGCATGAGATGTGAACATAAGCTAAAAATCAAGACTGGTACTGAAATTATTATTTTTTTAAAAAAAATGCTACTCTCTCCGCTGACCCCAAGCAGATTAAGGACATTAAGATAGTCATTCCTCTGCCCTTACCTTCTTTCAATGGAAATAACCAATAAGCCCTTAGATGTGAGCATCAAAGAACCAGGAAACACAAGTCTGGAAGGGATTTAGACACTCTGTGTATGTTTTAGGCCCCAGCAAGTACCAGCTACACCCACACCACTCTCAGTAGACGCCTGCTTAAATTGTTATGGAGTTGCTCTAAGACTGGCTTGCTCGTCTTCCCAAACCAAGTTATGCCAGTGAAGATGAGCAGAATTTTTTAGTGGTAAGGACAGCTATGACCAATCTGTTTCACTCCTTCTGTAACAAATTTGCCACTTCTTATCCTACCCATCTACCTGTGGAAGACAGACCGTGCCTTTCCTTTCTGCAAGAGATTAAATACTTCAAGATTATATCCATGGTCATTTCCTTTCCTTTTTTTTTAAAAAAAAAAAAAAATCTTCCCAAATGTCCTCGGAGGTCTGACTGTTCTTGCTGCTCTTCCCCAGGTTTCTTCCACTGGTCTTTGTGTTTGGGTTAGTTTTTTTTTTTTTTCAAGAGGATTGTACCCAGAGTCAAATGTTATACTTTCTGGTAATAAGCCGAAAGGAAGACTCACTCAGCATGAGTGCAGACAGCAATTCTTTGTACTTCTCAGGACAGCACCCTTCCTTCTCAGCGCTAGGATAATGTGGACTTGACCCTGCCCATGGCTCTCCTCCAGCACACCATAAAGCAAGAGGCTGCAGGTGTCAGAAGAGCAGGGTCTTGCCCTCTGCCTCTGCCCTGTTTCACTCCTCCTTTGCCTCTTGTGATCATGAAGAGAGACAAGGCAACTTGCTATGCTGCCAAGCTTATGAGTGCAGATAACCTGCAGCTGGTAATAACATTCATGAAAAGAGTAGCACGAAGGTCTTTGATTCACCTCCCTATGTTTTACACCTCTAATATTTCACTTCTCTGTGCAGGCTTTAAGGTGGGAAAAGCTTCTCTGGGCAGGCTTTAAGGTGGGTGACACTGCTTTAAGCACATCTCCTTACTAATAAACCTGACCAAGAACATTCCACCTAGGCTTCAGCTCACCGAGGATCCAAGCCTGCTTTTACTGGCCAGGTGGGAGAGTGGATGACGAGAACTATAACCCCTACAGCCCATGCCCCAGGAAAAGAGCAAACTGCATTATTATCAAGTAAATCTTTAAGACAGCCAGTTTTTACTATGAAAACTCTTTGTCTGTGAAAATACTTTCAGTAGCCTAACTGGTATGTACAAACCGCTCAGCGATCCCAAGCAGTCACACGTTCCTCTTAAGATTAACGTCAACATTTTCAACCCTGAAATCTTTCAGAAGCTTTTCAACAGAGCCAAAAGTATAAAGTATTAAACCTGAAAGTAATTTATCATCTTCTTGCTTGTTTTTTTAATTATTTCTCAGCTAACAGAATAAACGCTTTGCTTTTAATGAGTGTATCTGTATGTAAGTTGTGACTGCATGAAGCAGCATATGCCAGCTGTATAAAAGTGTATCACCTGGGACTCCTAGAGGTGATTTGCTAACTAGTATTTTTAGGCTGAGACATATATGAATGAGGAACAAAAAAATGATACTGGGCCTCCTAACATAAAGCAGAAACGAGCTCAACACACTTCCCAACAGTTAGAGTAGTTCTGTAACGGAGACATGTACATAAGCACTAAATAGACTGCACAGAAGCATCAGTATAAACTGATTTAACCTTCATTATTTATACATTCACAGAGCACATCTGATCAGTGTATTCAGAAATGGAAGTACTAAGTTCCTGCAAACAACATGCTCTCAACAGGAGACAAAACAAGTGTTTCAGCTTTTCTAACTGTTGAACAGTGTAAAAGACATAGAATCATAGAATGGCCTAGGCTGGAAGGGACCTTAGAGATCATCTAGTCCAACTTCCCTGTCATGGGCAGGGACGTCACCTCTCGACTAGATCACGATACCCAAGGCTCCGTCCAACTTGGCACATCTTCGCATAGGTCAAAAATATGTTCCGGGTATCTTGCATAGCATTACAAGAAGATTAATATTCCTCACTTCCAATAAAAGTATTGAGGAAATTAAAAAAAAATAATTAACTTGTCTCAAATGAAGTAGAGACCAACGTCTTGATTTTGAAGATAAAAAGAGAAAACCCAGAGTAACAAAGAGGTTAAATAACACAACAAAATCACAAAAACCCACAAGCCTACATATTCTGGTTTGGCAACATTTTTAAAAAGCAACAGTCTCAATTCCCTGTACAGTAGACATATGTCAAAACAACACTTGATTTCCTTCAGACTGAGATTTCAGTACATCCGCTGTCAAAAGACATTGCGTCAATTATTTCAGAATACTGAAAATACTCAGTAGTTCTGAAAATCTGTACTACAATATGTTATTACACGAGGTGTTTTTTCTTGGTGCTTTTTCCTTTTCTCCAGTATCTGACAGAAGGTAAAGGGTAGCTAAATGAATTCTCATTTTATTTTTTCCCGACAGTTGGTTTCAATATACCAAAATGCTTTTTTTTTTTTACCCAATTCCACTACACACAGTAAGGTCTACCTGATTGTGTATCAGTAATCAGTCATAGTTCACAATCTTGGAGGCACATGCCTGAGCACAAGAAGCACAGTGTATTCAACAACAAGAAAAATTAAGAAAAACAACCTGTAGGATGACTTATAGCAAAAAAATGACGTAATTTTCCTGCACATCTGTTAGTGTTCTCTATACTTTCCAAGAAAATAGTGTAATCAGCAGGATAATTAGTAGTCTAATCTTTCATACAGTAGGATTTTTAGAAGAGTACTACAAAATCACTACAAACTAGTTAGCATTACTATTTAAAGAAGAATTATCTGAAATCTCTAGGTTAGCCTTGGTGTCAACCCTCAATTTTGTTAAGTGTCATCTTCAGGTATGACATTTGCAAAATATTTTCCAAAAGGAACACCAGCATAAACAATGTAGTAAAACCTGCTTCCACCTCCAAAGGGTACAGCAACATACTCATAAACTGCTCTACTGAGCTGAATTAACTAAAACTTGGAATCAAGAATACCTTAGAAGTATTCAGATCATGACCCAGTGGTTACAATGCTACTTCATATACTTCCCACTTGACCCAAGGATATCAAATTTGTCTCACCGTTCCATCTGTTTAAGGGAAGGATAGTGCTTGAAGAAATAAACCTTTTTTTTACAACTGAGAGGACAGATACTATCATGCTATGGACCAAGTTAATCTCTTGGTTAACAGTAGTAATTCCACACATTCTAAATTTATTAACAGTCTCAATTAAGAAGTCTATAGCATGTTAAAAGTATGTTTCCGAAGAAAAGATTTTAGAACACAGGACTGTTCACCCTTTCATATCCCATTGCACCAACCTGTTTTGAAAATAATGAAATATTTACTGTTTCTTCTAGGTCAACTTTTCCTGTACTGATAGGAAAACAAGTTTTTCTAACCTCACTAATTTATGTGATCTAAACAAGCTACTTAATCCTGGAAACATCACTTTGATATTCAGGAAGAAACCCTTTACCAAGATTTTTAAGTACATAATAAACAACTCATAGGCATGTGCAAAGAAAAAAAACTAACATTATTATGCAGGTAACAAGGAACAGCCCCTCACTGGCACAAACTTGCTAGTTTGGAGGTTCTAATGTCACTTTTGAAAAACAGTGCCATTAGGCTCTTACTGGAGAGGACAGAAAACAAGCATTAACTGCATCAAACATAATTTTAAGGCTTGGAGAATATGAAACAAAATTGACTACCCAGACAGTCTCCTCACACATTTTTCGTGTTCTAATAAGAGCCACAATTTAGAAGTTTAGAAAATCAGTCTCAGCCTTGGCACAGAACTTCACAGGAATAAATAACAGCCAATGTTCACCAATGCTCAGTCTACCCAAGCACCTCTTACTCCTCTCCACCTTTCCTTGCTTTGGGGCTGAAGCACCATTCACGTTCCTCAAGAACCGGGTAGGCATTATTTTTGCTAGCATATGCCATTATTTGGTGTGTGTTTTTCCTAAGTTATTTAGGAAGAGAAAAAAAAAGTTATGAGCTGTGTGGCCAGAGACCTTCTAGAACTCAAGGTTGCACAGAATTATTACAGAAATGCATGAACAGAAAATAAAACCTTAAGAAAAATTATGGTCAAGTGGCAGCCAACATACTGAGCATCCCAGCCCTTCACTGTTCATCATCTTGTAGAGTAACAAAGTACATCAATTGAAACAATTATGCTCTTAACACCTACAGATTAAGGAATGTTGCTCCATCACTGCCTTACACTCTCTAGGCTCTCATCTAGAATGGATAATAAAATTTTTTCTACCTCTGGCTCCTCAATGCTGTTGCAGGCTTTGCGAAACCATTAACATGGAATCACGACTAATAAGGAAAACTGGAAGACTGGCTTGACCTGTTCACTGTGGCTGGCAAAATGCTTTTCTCATTTCAAGAAGCAGTGAGTGCTACTGTTAAGACAGTGAGCAATACAGTATTATGAACGTAGTTCAAAATTAGAAGTCACCAGTCTGAAATCTTCTGGTCATATATATGATAGTTGCATTCAAGAAAACTTTATTACCATAAAACTTAATTTTTAAAAATCTTCTGCTTTGTAATACAAGAAAATATAGAGGCAATTACAGAACTGATATCTATCCATACTACTAAGCTAAATGGTTTACCATTCAGGGGGCACCATACTGCCATCAACTTCCCAAAATGTATTTTTGCCATTCATTTCTTCAGTATAGATGACCCATCTGTGTCGACCTTAAATGAACAAACAGAAATATTGCATTAGATCAGAAAAATAAATTATTTTCATATAAAGGAGAGAATTCATTAAAACACAAAGAGAAAAGTATTTTGACTAAAGTATCTACCACTATGGGAACTTATTCCAAAGTCAGCAGAGCTTTTATTTTTCTAAGTCTTCTCTGTATTTCCATTGCTACTGTATTTTTCTACAGCCGAATCTAACGCTCATGAAGAAGCAAGTATTACCTCTATATAAGTAACAGGAAACAGCAATTTACAAAATTTTCAGGCAGGGGAACAGGTCTGGGCATCTTTTTCCCCATTAGGAGTCTTTTCCAAAAGGACTTTGTCATTAGTAACCTGAGATTAAATTAAATTTCATCCATATAAGCTACCAAGCAATGTTTACCAGCAATTGCTTTCCCCAGGTCCCCTACAAGTTAACGTACACTGGGCAGACACTGGCCTAATTAGCGGGTCAATTGCTTACATGTCACCACCATTGTTTTAGGTGCTACCTTTTCAAGTATTCTCCAAATGTTATTTAAAATCTCATTGCTTATAGTAATAGGAAGTTTAAGCTAACCTGTGTTTCTTTGCCCTGAAGTGATCATAGAAGTACAGCTGTGAGGCAGTTTTAAAGTTCTCTTTCTCTCCTTACCTGTTAAGCTACTAGCTTTTAGGTCAAGGATCACATTAAGCTCTCAATCACATTATCATATAGGCATACCTACACAGAGAGCATTTGCTTGGCTTATTTTTATCCCCTATTTGTTATTTCAGATTGACTGAAAATTTGACTGATTGATTGCAAATGAATTGAGGGAAGCAGTGGAGAGGCAGAAGGTGTCAAAACATTTCTAAGCGCCCCCTCTCAAAAACTCGACACACGAGCTCACATCAAGTGCAAGGAAGTCAGGTGGGCAACAAATTCTATTTCACTACCAGAAACTACACAAGCTATACAAAGCTTCAGTCAGGAGGTGTTCACATTAGCACACATACCAAAGAAGTTTCTTTTGTCTTCATAGTATTTGTTTCCGTATTTGTCTGTTCCTACCAGTGTACCAGTCTTCAAATCATTGACTCTGTGAATTTCCAAAACAAGTTTCAATTGCCATCATCTTAGAATGAAGTTGTGACAGACATTTCTTAGGGGTTGTTAAAAATCTGTAATGAAAACTCTTAAACATGTGTATTTCAAGCTATTAAAAAATTTATTCAAGTTTAAGGATAAAACATAATCACCAATTCCTCCAACTGACGTCAGTATGCCTTTACCGTGCACCCCACTGAGAGGATAATAAAAGTCATACAAAAGAGCTTTTGGGAGCTATTATTTATTTAAAAGCTCTTCATAGTAGAAGCAACTCTGCAACAGAGCAATTTAATACCCAGAGAACCTTAAATACTGTGGAAGGGACTCCCAGAGACACACATTAATTCACTTAGTTGAAGATGTTACCATGCTTCTTAATTATTTGTTACTACCGTTAGTGCTTGAATCGCCACGGAAAGCGGTCAGCACCGAAGCAGGTTAAGACACCTCGTGTGGGCACTAACCTCCAGGAGAGGAACAGTAATATTTCAAGCCACCATAGCTGTTTGCCAAGGAAATGCATGATAAATCCTAAATTGCAATGGTTACTTTCTAGCTTTTCTGTAACTGTGAAAGATGCGTTTACTCTGCCACTGCAGATAAGGTATATACCAACTGCAACTCTGTATACAGAATGTATTTTAACATTATTGTACATATCAATAGTTAAACTAGGACGTACACTTGCATGCTCTTGTAGTTGGGAGTCTAACTATGCAACACAAGACAAAGGGGTTTTTTTAATGCCTTTTCTCCCAAGATGCATGAAAGCAATAACCATTCCACCAGGTATTCATTTTAAACCTCTGTGGTCTCAGGCAGAAAGATTCTCTGCCACAGCTCTCCTCTGTCCAAGAAACACTCAAAGATCTCTAGCTGAGCTATCTAAGCTCGAGCCCCCAGCTTCAGAAAAAAGGAAAGCCATTTCACTGCTGCCTTTCCTTCCTTCTTCCTCTCCTTTTCTGGCAAGGGTTCTTGTGCTCTTGTCCATTCTTCATGCCCCAAATACTGATACCAAACACTAAGAATTACTTATGGCTTCCAGAGGACACTTTCCAGATAACTTCACGGAATCCTGATTTAGGAAAATGTTTCCAGGCACACAAGCTCTTAAGAACCGGACTTCTACAGCACAAAACCTTCCCACCTTAGAGGGAAACAGAGAAAAGCAGGGAAATTCAGAATAAAAGCCCTGCAGAGAAAAAATTTCCTGACTTGGGTAAATAATTTTTCCAAGTTACAGTAATCACCTCTTAAACACACCAAGTGTTACAAGACAGATACACCTTGATTACTCTTCCCGTGCACGCCAAGTGAGCTGGGACAGAAGATTTAGTGGCTTGAACGGTGAAGGGGAGGCAGCAGCTGTATTTGTGGTAGGTACGGTTATGAGGATCAGGTGTTACTCTCCACCCAGCACATCTCTCTTCTACCTTCAGTCTTCTGAAAGAAAAAAAAGAGCTCTGCCTCCAGCAGCCTTGTCTGCTCCTTTTTTCTGTGTGGTAGAAAGGTGTCAGCACAGCCTCTGATCTTTGACACGCAAAAGCTCCCTAACAAGATGTCAGTTAAGATGTGCCTAGGAAGAGGCACTCTGGTGAAACCTAAGACTCAAACTCTTCTACACTTTTATTTCTCCGGCTCTATTTCATCTTGAGAACTGCCAGTGCAACAGCTACAGCATAAGAGAGCTAAGGGGGAAGGACAGAAAATAAGCATAGTAAAATACTAGCCAGGGAAATTACATATTGTCTCAATTTATACTGCTTAACAGCTTGAAATTTCCTTCTAAAAAGTTATGCAAGAAAGTCTATCTGAGCTGCTTTTTACAGTGGAGACGGAACAGCCAGAAGCTGCCTGTCACCACAGCTACGAGGAATATAAAGTTGAAACCTCGCCGACTTCAGAAAAGCACACAATATTGTGCCACAAAGCAAATGAGGAAAATTAATTAAAATCTGTAATAACTGTAAAAGGATCAATATGCTCAGCTGAAACAAGAAACACAGAGCCGACCGAAGGCTACTAGTGAAGTTCCACAGAGAATGCTGATGTTAGTAGGCTTATTTAACACTTTACATGGTTCCTGACCAAAACAGAAACCCCACCGCCAAAGAGCACAGGGGCCTGACAGACTGTGACATTACCCTACAGAGGAAGGTCACGTTATTGCACAGGGAGCTCTCTGCTGCTTTCAGGGCTGGAACGATACCAACAGGACGAAATTTAGTGGTATGAAGGTCCTAGCACAAGGTGACGCACCTGGGGACTAGGAAGATCTGAAGCACTGTGTGTGTAATCACAGAGAAAACATCTGGATGCCACAAGGCAATGATGTGATGCCAATTAAGTCACATGTGGGGAAGAAAAGACAAGCTGATCCTAGGATGTACCAGGTGAACTGAGCTGCATTCAGTGAAGAAACCAAATGCTAAAGCCACTGTATGGAAATACTTATGAGGCCTGATCGGCAACGGTATAAAATACTATGTTTACCTACTCAAACCAGATCAATTTAAACTACAAAAAAAAGCAGAAAAAATACTAGTATGATGACTGAAGAAAAAAAAAAATGTTCAAGAAGGCTCAGAAAGCTTAGTTTATTCCCTCTAGTGTAAGAAAGCCCTTCGTATACAGCAGGGAATTTTACTTTTGTGAATCCTCCTATCCCACACTCCTGACTTCCCACTATTGATTAAGAACAGGCCTTTTGGCCATGTGGCCAGGACTACAACATTCACTGTACCCTGAAGAAATGTTCTATTACTGTTCCAAAACCATCTACAAAGATAACACGGGTTACGGACACTGCCAAATTTGGATCACATACCATTGAGACTTCCACCCTATGTTTCACCAAAGGTCTGAACAAAAAAAGAGTGCCTTTGTCAATCTACCCCTCCTCCTGGGTGGGAGGAGCTGCAAGCCCGCTGTATCTCAATGCAAAACACTCTTCAGTATCGCGGTTCAAAACACTCTTCACAAGGTAGAGATGATATGTGAACAGGGGAAAAAAAAAACCAAAAAAACAGGAGAAAGCTTAACGTGGATGGGTGCAAGGTACTGTGCCTGACGAACAAAGTGCACAGACACCACTGGAACCGAAGGCTGCAATTAATTCTGCACAAAACGCCACCAGAGCGAGCGGGCAGCCAAAGCTAGGCACAGGCCAACAGGGAGAACCCGTCGTGAAAAAAGGCAGAAAAAGGCTTTGAAGTGTTGAAACAGTTAAAGCCGGTAAGACAGATGGAGGAATTCTCTGTTTTACACTGCAGGATTTCAGGAGCTCAGCCTTCAGCTTTGCACACCGGGCAGTTTAAGAAAGCCGCGGCCAGGCTGAGGTGATCCAGAGCAAAGGGCCCTCGGGCCAGCGGCAGAGCTGAGCGCCACCCCGGCGGACACGGCGGGGGCAGCAGGGCTAAGGAGGACCGAGGCTGGACAGGGGGTAAACCTGCCTGGGCGATACTAACAGCC